CTGCACCGGGTTTCACAGTCTGGTTTGCGGTTTTACCGTGCTGCTCTTTCCTGGAGAGCAGACCCGCTGAACGGTTTACAAGGAGCCATGCCATCTTACAGCCTTTTTTAAAAAACTTCAATAAAGCCTAAGTAGGCAAAACACCGTGGCTGTTATTTTACTATTTTACCGGGAAAAGGACGTTAAGGGAGGGAATACGGGAGCCTACAAACATGGACTCTGCAGGCTATCCTAGCAAGACCGAAGGGCCCGCAGCCTCCAGGTTTACCTTGATGAAATACGGTTTCCCGAACTCCGCGCTGAGCGGTTTCTTCCAACTCTCACCGAAACCCACTGGCACGTTGCGCGCGGCGAGTCTGAGCAGGGCGGCGGCCTTGTTCCTCTGGATACGGATCAACTGCTCGGGGCTCAGCGGCGAGGAGGGCGGCGTGCCGGGGTCCTCCTGCCCGGCCCGGGCCTTCTTGGGGGGACTTGCCTGCAAGTGGTCCCCGCAGAGGCGGGTCACGAGCTGCAGCGGGCCACGCCCAGGCGCCCGCAGATGCCGCCCCCAACCCCACGGCCCATGGCGGAGCAAGCCCATTCGCGGGGCTCCAGCCCCCACGGGGCAACTCGCAGCAAAACCGAACTCTGGGAGTCGGGTCCGGGAAGGCAGACTGCTGCTCCCAGTATTGAGTTTGGTATTAAGATGCGGCTGCGAGAGGGGTTTGGTGAGCTAGATCCGCTACGTCTCCCGCGGCGTTGGCGGGAAGGGAGGCCCTGACCCCGGCGCCCGCTCCCTGCGTCCCCACGTGGTCTTTTCGCGGCAAAAACCTCCCGGGGTGAGTCCCGCCTCTCTCCCCTCTTGATTGGACGGCGAACCGAGCAGGGAGGCTCCCTCGCCTCTGATTGGCGCCGCGGGCCCCGAGGTCCATCCCCATTGGCTGGCCCCTCAGAATGGCCGCCGACAGGGGACAGCGCGGGCTGTTTTGAACACGTGCAGTCTGCTTTGAACACAGGGACCCAGCTTACCGAGTCGGTGACGCGTCCCTGCAACCCCTCGGCCAAGCGGGGCCCGTCACCCTCCTCCCCGTCCCTTGCCCCCGGTGCCCGGTCCCCGTCGCGCCTCACCGCCGCATCCCCGCTCTCCTCAGCCACCGCCGCCACGCCGGTCCCCGGGTCGGCCGGCTCGGGACTGCGGGCACGTCGCTTCCCGGCGGGGGTGGGAGAAAAAAAGGAGTAGAGGGTCTTCTGGCCGATCATCCCGGAGCCGAGGAGAGCGGCCGCGCGCCGCTCGGAGAACCCGCAGTCTGAGCCAGCTGCGGCGATCCGAAATTGGCGCCAAAAGGCTTGCGCATGCTCCGACCGGGGCGGGGAGGGGGAACGGGGGACGGCGAGGGGCCTAGTGCGCCTGTGCCAGAGGGGCTGGGCGAGAGGCCCCTGGGACCAAGTAGGGCTTGAAAGCGTCAGGTGGTAGGCCGGGTCCTTGGGTGCGCCCGCTCTGGAGTTTACTCTTTCATTCATAGTACTCAGCCATCACACCCCTGCCTTGGGGCTCGTCCCTCTGCCTCTGCCGCCGGGAAAAGGAGAAAAAAAAAGCACCTGACCCGAGGAGTAGTCTCGGGAGTGAAATTAGCATTAAAACAGTCCTTTGCTTTGCTCTCAGGTACAGGTCCTCATCCTGTTTTCACAAAACTTATTTTACTGACAGCAAGCTAGAGCCAAGTGCGGTCGTGCGTTTTGCCTAACCTGTAAGGTCTGGGGGAGACTTTAACTGAGGTCTTGAAGATTAAACTCCAAACTCCGCATCCTCTTCAAGGCACCACCGCCCCCTCACACACACCCGCCGTCCTTCTTGTTCCGCGTTCCCTCCCCACATCCCAACCGACAATGGGTCCTCTTGGTTCTATCTGCAAAATAAACCCCAGATTCGACGGCCGCTCTTCATCACCTAGCTACACTCCCTGGCTGCTCTCCTCTTTCTTCGGAGAGTGATCTTTTTGAAATGGAAATTATGTCGTGGTAATCCCGGCGTAACAATCCTCCCTACGGTTTCCAAATTTTAGAATAAACCCGTTTCTTACCCGGCTGGCGGAGCTGTTTCCCTCTAACCGAAGCCCCTACTACTGTGAGGTGACTGCCATCGCCAGCTTTCCCTTGTGTGGCCTGTACTCTCTTGCACCGGCTGTCTCCCTACCTGGTAAGCTTTGGGTCTCAACTCAGGTCGCTTCCTCTTGATAAGGGAACAAAGCAAGCTGAGGACAGAGCCGAAGAGGATACCCTGCCCCTCCCCTCCCTGGTTAGGACCTGTGTGACATTCTTCCACGAATCTCCCATCTTATGTTAAATACCTTGCTAGAGGCGGGGAAACAACCTTAACCTGACAAGGGCAAAGGCTTCAAAGCCCCAGGTATCTTGTAGGTTCTCTTTAGTATATGAAAGTTCTGTTGAAACCTTTTTCCTTACCTCCCCCAATCCCATTGTATATAACCTGCCCCCACCTCACAACCCTGGGGCAGCAGTTCTTTCTGCTCGAGGGACCCCGTGCTTTAATAAACCATCACTTTGCACCACAGATGTCTCAAGAATTCTTTCTTGGTCCTCCAGCTCTGCACTCCACCCCACTGAACCTCACCTATATTCTAAACCTTAATCACTCTGGAAGGCCTTCCCCTCTGCCCCCACGTTCAAGCTGGTCACTCCATAGCTTCTGCACTATCTTAAATTATCTTATGCATTCTTTGCTTGTTTATTTGTCTCCATCTCCAAAATTTAACCCTGCTGGGGGCAGGTGATGTGGGAAAGAAAGGCAGAAAATTAAATGTCCTTATAACAGGCAGCCCACTGACAAATACTTGAGGCAGGCAGAGTATAATGTCCTTCCTGGAAGCTCCTAGTGTTCTCAATGCCTTGCTAGAGGGAAAAGCAACCTTAGTTTGACAATGGCCAGGCCTCCGGTGTCCTGTGAGTCTTCTTTAGTATATGAAAATGCTTTTGTAACTTCCCTTATCTTTACTTCCCCCACTTGCAAAGTGTATAGTCAGTTGTTCCTCACAGTCCCAGGGCTCTGGGGAGCAGAAGGCAGCAGTAGCTAATTTCGCCTGTGGGTCCAGTCTTCGTGCCTTAACAAAACTATTATTTTGCACCCAACACGTCTCAAGAATTCTTTCTTGGCTCTTGGCTCAGGACCCCAATTAACCTCATCTATATTCCAAAAAACGACATCACAGGGACTTTATCCCTTATTACTATCATGTTTCAGTGCCTAGGGCAAGGAGCCTGGTGTGTTAGGGGAGAAGCTCATAACTCAAATCAGGTTGCCTGGGTGGCTCAGTGGGTTAAGCCTCTGCCTTCGGCTCAGGTCATGATCTCATGGTCCTGGGATTGAGTCCCGCATCGGGCTCCCTGCTGAGCAGAGTCTGTTTCCTCCTCTCTCTCTCTCTACGTACTTGTGATCTCTCTCTGTCAAATAAATAAATAAGATCTTTTTTAAAAAAAGAAACAAACTTACATATCTTCCTATTTAAAACAAACAAACAAACAAACAAGAAAAACCTCAAAATCATGTACCCTTCCAGCCACTTTGAAATACATCTCAGTTTGGGTACAAAGTGAAACACAACACTTAACATGTGCCCCTGCAATCCCACTCCTAGGTGTTCACGCAAGTGCAATTAAAATCTGCATTCAGAAAAGCTTATACCGGAATGGATACAGTGACTTCATTTGTAATTGCAGGGAGCTAGAAACAACTCAAAGGCCCCTCAGCTGGGGTGGGGTGATGGGGTGAACAAATCATAGGGTATCCATACCACACAATGCTACTGAGCCATAAAAGAAACAACCGAAACAAACAAGGGTACAGTCTAAAAGCATTAAGCTGAATGAATGGCCAGACACCAAAGGCTATCTATTTATGATTTCATTCATAAGAAATTCTAGAAAAGAGGCACCTAGGTGACTCAGTAGGTTAAGTGTCTGCCTTACACTCAGGTCATGAACTTGGGGTCCTGGCATCCAGCCACACATCCGGCTTCCTATCAGCGGGGAGCCTGCTTCTCCCTCTCCCTCTGCCTGCTGTTCCCCCTGCTTGTGCTGTCTCTCTCTCTCTCTCTCAAATAAATAAAATCTTTTTTTTTTTTTAAATTCTGGAAAAGACAGAAGTATAAGGACTGGAAACTGCTGGTTGCCAGGGGCGGGGCGGCGGGGGCGGGGTGCTGTGGCATCGGACAAGGGCGAGTTTCTAACCAAGAGGCTTGGGAGAATTTTGTGGGGTGACACAACCGTTCTGGATCTTGACTGTGGTGGTGGTCACACAACTCTGTACTTTGGCCAAAATCTGCGGAACTGTGCACTAAGAATTCGGGACCTCCCGAATCCCACGGAGCTTTCATTGCACTGGGGGAGACAGAGAATCATCAAAAGTGAGGAGCGATGACAGAACCCGACATTTATTTGGAACGCAGAAGCATTCCTCATGGGTCCCGTCATCTAATCCTCACAGGGCTCTCGCGGCGAAGGTTTCATAGACCTCACTGTGCAGGTGAAGCTACAAGCGACCTGCAGGAACCTCACAGCCAGAGTGGTGGAGACAAATGCGGAAGCCATGGGGTCGTGCTTCCACCAGGCGGCCCACCTCCCAGTCTGGACGCCCACCGAATCCCCAGGGGGAGGCGACAGCGAACAACAGCCCCCAAACCACAGAAGATCCTCCTAGGCCAGGGACCGAGCAGCTGGGCAGAAAACCCTCAGGGCCTGCAGCGCGTCCAGGAGGCCAACAAGTGGCGCTAGGGAGCAGCTCATCACACTGCTTCCGCCTAAGTGCCTACATTTCCCAGCGGGCCCCGGAAATCTACCCGGAAGTGACTTTACGGCCCGGGTGTTGTCTTTTTCCCGCCGGCCCCGCCTCTGGTGTTTGCAGGGTCCCGGGGCGGCGCTGCTGCTGTCTGGGGTGTCAGAGCCCCCCACCCCGCCCCGAACGTCGTCACAGTCCTTATTTTCTATCGGAGTTTAGTGTGCGTATGACCACCTGTAACTGTTTTGCGTTCAGATTCTGAGTCCTGGCCATTTGAAGATCACTATACTTACCTAAGAGGATTCTGGCGTGGGAGGCTGGTCGGTAGTGAGGGAAAAGGAGACCGGGAATCTCCTCTGGGTGACTTTGGGCAAACCCCCTTCCCTTCTCCAGGCGTGCCAGGCTGGGCTTTCTTGAAAAGATCAGGTGCTTGGGGATGGAATGTGGGCATTTGGGGTTTTGCAAGCCTGCGGGCTGATTGTGATGCATAGCCAGGTGTGGGGGGACCCAGGACATCCTGAGGGTCCCTTCAGACTTCAACATACTCTGCTTCCTTTCTAGGACATGGTGTTAAAAGTGGGAACTTGAAAACGCCGAGGAGAATTCTGTAGGACCATTTGGCCAACAAGCCAAACTTTTAAGCATCTGGGCCAGAGTCTGGCCCATCTCTCTCTGCCCTGCCGCTGGCTCCCAGATCTTTGCTTTGTGGAGACAGCATGGACAGATTCCTGGTGAAGGGGGCATTAGGGGGCCTTTTGGGAAAGAGGGAGCGAGAGGAGAGCAGAGAAGGCCCAGCAGGGCTGAGAGGAGACAAGGAGAGCAGCAGGAAAAGGACCAGGACAGAAACCCCGGGGAATGCAGGCCACTCGGCCAGTCCCATCTGGCGGCACATCCGAGCTGAGGGCCTGAGTTGTGATTACACAGTCCTGTTTGGCAAAACCGAAGCAGACAAGATTTTCCAGGAGCTGGAGCAAGAAGTGGAGTATTTTACAGGTAAGCCGAGGACTTGCAGGGTGTGTGTGTTGAAGACTTGTTTTGAAAAAACTAGTGCTTTGTGTTTGGAGAAATCTGAACTCAGGAGCCATTAATTGCTGGTAACTTCATTAACTGATTCAACACATACTCTCTGGGCATCTCTGCTCCAGGCACCATGTTGGGCACTTGGCATACAAACTGGAGAAAAGATTGCCTGCCTACCAGGAGCGGACAGACTTGAGAGTGATTTGCCACCTGGCTGTCATTAGAATCAGCTGGGAAAGTTAAAAAAACAAAAAAGATGCTGGGTTCTATGCAGACCAGCTGAATAGGAGTAACTGGGCGGTGCGGGGGAGGGGTGTACAGCCTGGGCATCAGTGTTTTTAGAAAGCCTCCAGGTGGCTGTAAAGTGCATCTGGTCTAGTAGAAGAGACAGCAAATAACCAGGTAATTCCCCCACAGGGGGGTTCTTGGCATCACCACCAACCCCCCCACCTCCGCCCCGAGTCGAGGCCGGGGGTGGGGAGGGGGAGACCTTGTTGCTTCTGAGAACTGGGATCGCCTGACCCCTCCCCACCAGTCTAGTAGTTGTTCCCAGGTGCTGCTGATGCTGTTGGTCCTGTTGGTCCAGGAACACACATGGAGAACTCCTACAAGGTGGCAGAGCACGAGGAGGCAGAGAAAAAGGTCATGGGAGGGGCACCTGGGTGGCTCAGTGGGTTAAGCCTCTGCCTTCAGCTCAGGTCATGGTCTCAGGGTCCTGGAATCCATCCCTGCATCGGGCTCTCTGCAGAGAGGGGGCTTCCCTCTCTCTCTCTCTGCCTGCCTCTCTGCCTACTTGTGATCTGTCAAATAAAATCTTTTAAAAAGATAAAGCCCACAGAAGACCCCTCCCAGCCTGCAGCCTTCACTGTGTTCGCTTCATCTCTTGGGGACCCCACACCCTTAGTCCCCACGGTTGGCAGAATCACCCTAGCGTGTAGCCTGACTTCAGCTTGCTTTCATTTCAGCCTCTTATTAGTAAGTCTCTCCTGGAGTTAAGACAATTAAGGCATGTTGTTTTTTAAAAAAAAAAAAAAAATTGGACGAGAGCATGTTTCTCTAAGTGTAGGACAAGATCACTGTCTTCCATGAACATTTTGGGCAAGCCACAGTGATTTTTGTCTTCGGTCAGAAGGTGAAATATTACTCCTTTTTCAGTTTCCACTCGATCCTGAATCTTCAGGGAGCAAGCATGTGGGCTCCTCACCCGCCTGCTCTTCTGAGCTGCCCTGTTTTATCTGCGCAGGTGCGCTAGCCAGGGTCCAGGTATTCGGGAAGTGGCACAGCGTGCCCAGGAAGCAAGCCACCTATGGCAACGCGGGGCTGACCTACACGTTCTCGGGCCTCACTCTGTCTCCAAAGCCCTGGATCCCAGTTCTAGAGCACGTCCGGGATCGTGTTTCTGTGGTGACAGGAGAGACCTTCAACTTTGTGCTTGTCAACAGGTGACTTTCTGGGTTTTTTTTCCTTTTCCTTTTTAGGGTACTGGACTGAATTGTATAAATCTGTTTCTTCCGAGGGCAGGAGTTTAAGATTCCATCTTTTTTTTTTTTTTTTTTTAAATTTAAATTCAGGTAGCCCACACAGAGTACAACCTTAGTTTCAGAGGTAGAGGTCAGTGATTAGTCAGTTGCGTAGAACACCCAGTGCTCATCAGATCACGTGCCCTCCTTCATGCCCGACCCCTGGGCCCCCTCCCCTCCAGCAGCCCTCAGTTTGTTCCCTAGAGTTAAGACCCACCATATTTCATTCATTTGTACAACAGATACCTCAGTGCAGCAAGGATGTGGCCAGGACAGCATCTGCTGTTAGGTCCTTACGGAGCCCAGGCCTCAGTGGGAAGTTGAGAGGTGATTCTCTTGTGAACAAACCGCTGAACAAGATCATTTCAGATGCTATTAAGTGTCTTGAAGAAAATTAAACAGGCTGATTTATGGTTTGAGGGCAGGGTTTTGCACCAGAAACGCTCCGATGTTTTGGGCCAGATAATTCTGTTGTCACGGCCATCCTGTGCTTTGTGGGATGTGAGCAGCCTTCCCAGGTTTCCACCTGCTGGATGCCAGCAGCATCCCCTCCCCGTCACAGCCACCAGAATGTCTCCAGACACTGCTGAGCATCCACTGGGGGAGAGAACCGCCCTGCTTTCCAACCCTGAGTTTAGGGGAAGGTGGTTAGCGGAGGGCTCCCTGAGGTGCTGATGTTGGAGCTGTAGACTACATGGAGAGAGAGAACAAGACACACAGACATCCTGAGGAAGAGCAGAGGGGGCTTGGAGCGTGTATGGAGCGGAAAGCCCACCGAGACTGCTGGAGCAGCAAATGAGGGGAGGGAGAGAGGGCTATCGTGAGCTCAGAGATGGGCAGGGGCCAAACTGGCAAGGACTCAGGGTTTTTTTATTCTAAGTGTGGGGAGAAATAATTTAAAGGTTTACATACATGAACCGGGAAAACCCCAAGATGAGTTTTCGGCTGCTTTTGGTGAGTTACATTTTAAAGCACACGAATGAACACGAGCAGATTGAGTGGGAATGCTTCAGGCTTGGCTCATCTGCAGACCCAGAGGAGGCCCTCTAGCCCCTGCAGAACCACAGCAGGAGCCGCTCTCGGCATCTGTCACACGGTAGGAAAATGAGGATTCTGCCCTGTTGGCACGTTCCAGGAAAGGGCTGTTTTGTAAACTGGGCCTGTGTTGTCACTGCAGGTACAAGGATGGCCATGACCACATCGGGGAGCACAGAGATGATGAACGAGAACTGGCTCCTGGGAGCCCCATAGCCTCTGTCTCCTTCGGGGCCCACAGAGACTTCTTCTTCCGGCATAAGGATTCCCGGGGGAAAAAGCCCACCCGGAAGGTAGAGGTGGTCCGGCTTCAGCTGGCCCACGGGAGTTTGCTCATGATGAACCACCCGACCAACACTCACTGGTACCACAGTCTCCCCATACGAAAGAAGATTCTAGCCCCACGGGTCAATCTGACATTTCGCAAAATTCTGCCCGCTAAAAAGTAAAAACTTTGTCGGTGGTTTGTACTTCTCTTTTCTCCTTCCCTCTCTACTCCAAGAGGGAGATTGGCATCTCTTTTCCCAGCAGGGAACATAGGAAAGGCTTCATCCAAGCATGGGGCTTATTACATAACAACGCAGAATTCAGAGAGAGGATGGTTGTAGCAAATTGGTCATTTATGAAAGAATACCAGTTGATTTTTTTTTTCCTAACAAAAAGATTTTTTTATTACTATAATACACAGCAGATACAAAAGGTACCTTTAGCAAATACAGAAATCAGCAGTTATGGCATAAACTACTAGTGTAACTTAGGTTTTTGCCAAGAGAAGCTGCTCTGTAAATAACTTAAAGCTAGAAAGGTGATGTTGTGGCTGCTACTTAATGCCTAATAATTTACAAAACGAGGACGTCAGCTTTACATCCGGCTCAGAGACCTTACACGGACACCCCGGCCTCTGACCCACCATCTGCTTCCAGCTGAACGTTCCGTGCCCAGCATCTCTTTAGCGGCAGGTTTCAAAGAGGAAGCGGAGGCAGGAAAGCAGTTAACCGGGAGCTACAGCTTCATGGTTCGATGTAAGGTCACATCACTGGGTGTTTGTTCTCCGGATTTGGGCGAAACAGCTCTGCTCATGGCAACATCCCAGCCAGGGCCTTCGACGGAATCGGAAAGGACGCTTCACATGGGTCCTCTCTCCCGGGTGTCCGTGGCCCATAGAACCTTCCACAGTACCTTCATTCAGTCGTAAGTTGTGAGTGCTTGGGGCGTGTGCTGGGCCTGGTGGGACAGCGATGCCCCGGGCCCCTGGCTCCCTTAGTGGACACCCGGGCCTGGGCTGGCAACACTTGCCAGCCCGCACCCCCACTGGAGGAAGGCCAGGGATCGGCCTCGCCTCAGGGGACCTTTTAGAAAGCTCTGATTCCAAATCTTAACTCTGAAGAGTCCATTTGAATTTTGTTTTGTTTTTAAATAAAAAGCCTAGCTAAAACATAGCTACTACCATGTCCTCATTCTCCCTGTGGCGCTGGGCTGTATCCAGGAGCCTTCAAAGAGGGACGGGAATGCTCAGTAGAGTCTTTGTGTCGGGCTGCGGGGAGCGAGTAAACATATAGAGTATGGACCTATAACAGAAGGGCAGTACTAGATGATCAGCCGCAAGGATACGTTTTTTACAAACTGGTAACTTTCTTCTGTGGAAAGGGCTGGGATTTGGATGCTCGCTGAGCGTTAAGCCTTCCCTCTGCTAAACAAGGAAGCCCGACTGCAGCCCTGTGGTCCGTGCCCTTCCGACCCCAGCTCCCGAACCCAGGCAAGGACTGTCCTCTCACATGGCCCCCAGTGGCACCTGCAAACCTCAGGAACACTGCAGGGGCAACAGAATTCAGGGTAACTGTCCATCTGGCCCATGCGGGGAGGCTTCGTGTAAAAACAGCCTTTGTCCAGAGTGGTTGGCGCAGACACTGCTCTGTGCCCACTGTTCACAGTCCAATGACGGACCATCATCACGTCCCCCGGCCAGCGTGCTGAGAGCAGAAGCGAGCAGCAAGCAGCTCAGAGCTGATGGGCCAGATTTGGCAGGTGCACTTTGATGACATAGAAAGAATCCAAAGATTAGAAAAGACCCACAAAAAGAGAAGGCGGGTGTTCTTCAGGCATCTTTTAGCTGTCCTGTTGCTCTCCGTGGAGAAACTTAGAAGGAGCAGAGCTTTTCAAAAGTTGTTCCGAGGACTCTCAGACAAGGTGTATTTTCCAGAATGGACGTGCTACAAAAGCAATCGAAAGGGAAAGGCACTTTTTCTTCTAAATTGTTGCCTTTAATAATTTAACCTTTTATGGGCCTGCTTATTAAAAATAAAAGATCTATGCCGAAACCGACTGGAGGATTAGGCAAAGTTACCTCCCCTCTGAGAACACCTAACATAGCCGAATATAAAAAAGGTGGCTTCCGGAACCGGGTTTCATTTAATTACCTGTATCAGATGGTAAAAAGACGTTGTAGACAGAGTGAATGCTGTCGGAGCACAGCAAGGACACCACCCAGTGCACACTCGCAGAGCTGTTCAGGGGGCCGGATTTGGCTTGAACTGGGATCAGCGGCTCCTTTACGGAGCCTGCTCTGAGAACACCCAGAAGGCGGAGGGCTCTGGCAGGGGCCGTCTGCGCACACACACACAGTCAGATCTTGCCTGGTTCCTGGCCGGCGTGGACAATGCCATCGGCTCTGAGGCAGGGCAGTCATTCTTCTGCCCTGTACTCCCGGCCCTGGTGCTGCATCTTGGAAAGAACGCGCTCGTAGAACAGCAGGTAGGCGCTGGAGGACAGGACCTCCTGCAAGCTGGCCTTGCGGACCGTGTCGTCAGAGATCCATAGCCACTGGTTGCTGGTTGAAAGAGGGTTCTTGGCTGATGGTGGGGACCGTCGGTAAGTCACAAAGTGTCCCGAGTGCATGTCTCCGTGGTGGACCACAACTGCCATCAGCCGGAAGAGGTATGTGGAGGAGCTGAATGGGAGGAACACAGGCAAGCCGTTTACAGACACACACACAAAAAGGGTCATGGGCAAAACCAAAAAGTGAAAGAATCCTAGATGTTCAGTGACGGGGGACTGATTCAAGGGTACCTTCGTACAAGTGAACACTACACAACCCTTAAAATGCAGACAGGCTTCCTGGCATGAGGAAGACACCTGTCCCATGAGTAGACGTCCATTAATGTGGCAGGTGTACACAGAAGGCCTTAAAGGTTTGACTGCTGATGTCTAGGGGGTATCCCAAGAAATCTGAAATTCCCTCCTTTGTACTTTATACATGTATTCCCACATGTATACACAGAACATACATATTTAAATTCTACGTACTTCAAGAATTCTTATTTTTAAAGTGCTTTCCATTTGGGACAAAAATAAACAGGAATGCGTAATAGTGAGATTACACCTTAAGATGAAAGAACAAATGTCTATGTTGTCATCCATTTCTGTGCAAAGCTAATTCTGGAAACCGAGAGAACCAGCAGCTACGAGAAATGAAGACTGTGCCTCCCCAGAGCAGCTCACCTGTAGTCAGGAACCACCGGGAGCGGGAAGGGCATCTGGGCTGGCAGGGGGGGCAATAAAGATGGGGAGCAGGCGCCATTCATAAAAATCTGTGGTTTGGGGCCTCCAGGCTGATTCAGAACTGCAAGAGAAAAAGGCTCCAGGTGATTACAGTAGCAGTAGCTGTGGGAGAACACAACACAGCCTCCACTACCTTGAGTTTAACTCCCCGACAATGCTGCAAAGAAGAAAACAAGCGGTTCATTTTGTGTTAGGTTGCTTCCTACCTTTTGTGGTTTTTTTGTTTGTTGGTTTTTTTAGATTTTATTTATTTGAGAGCGAGAGCAAAGTGAGCAGGGGAAAGGGGAGGGGGAGAACTGTAGTCCCCACTGAGCGAGAAGCCCGACTCAATCCCAAGACCCTTGAGATCATGACCTGAGCCAGAGGCAGACGCTTAACGGCCTGAGCCACCCAGGCACCCCTACCTTTTTGTCATTGACATTCTTAATCCAGGGTAGGAAAAGTGGGTCTAGCTTCTGGTCTGCTGCTTACTTTGACAGCTTTGTGAATCTTGAAGCTCCCTGTCCGTTTGCTAAAGATCCGCCAGAGTTAGGCTGTAGCTAATTTACTGGCATTTCAACCTAAACCAACGTTTCTCAATCTTGACACTGCTGACACATTGGCTGAATAACTCTTGCTTGTTGGGGCTATCCTGCTCATCAGAGGATGTTTCCCGGCATCCCTGGCCTCTACCCACCAGATGCCAGTAACACCCGTCTCTCGGTTGTGACAACCAAAAATGCCACTGGCCACTGCCCCACGTCTCCTGGGCAACAGAACTCCCTGGTTAGAACCACTACCTAAACATTCTCTATTCTTTAATTTCCAGCTTCTAAAGAATACCAACATATAACCATGTTGATAAATGTTGTGGGTGTAGATAAAATAGTGAAGGAGATATTGACCTCTCTTTTCCTGTGTCACACGCAAGGGCCTGTAAGTACCCAGCAGGCCCCGTCGGCCGTACAGTAGCCACAGTCAGCATGCTGTGGTGATGAGCAGACCCGGAGCCCCGGCTGGGAGAGGGGGGATCCAGGGTGAGCCGGGCCTGGATTTAAAACAGCGGCCGGGGCACCTAAGTGTCTGTCTTTAGCTCAGGTCATGATCCCAGGGACCTGGGATTGAGTCCCGCACTGGGCTCCCTACTTGTTGGGAAGCCTGCTTCTCCCTCTCCCACTCACCCTGCTTGTGTTCCCTCTCTCGCCATCTCTCTCTGTCAAATAAATAAATAAAATATTTTAAAAAATAAAATAAAATAGCAGCCAAAGACTGAGCCCTCTTCCCACTGCAGCGACTCTGATGTTCGTTTACAGATCTGCTGAAAAAAGGTAAAAAACAGTCTTTCTGTGAATGGCGTCCTGCCAGGCCGCACAAATGTGGAGGCAAGAAATTAAACGCAGCAAGGGGCTACTGAGTCAGGAGCATCTGGGGTGTGGGGAAGCCAGGCCTCTGGCTGGACTGGAAGCAGGTACAGATGGGGAGTCTGGGCTCGGGGCCCTTAGAGTTGGTGGGTTTTCCTCGTCTACGTAATTCTAAAGAACTCAAGGAGCTAGAAAAGATAGCTTTTAAAAACTGCCCAGTGCTGCCTTCTGGTGCCCATTCTCCCAGTGGACTGATGTTTGTCCTTAAACCAGTCCTTTCAGCTCCCGGGGCCTCGATTTTCCCCTCAGCAAGACTGAGGGCAGTTAAGAGCGACCTGCTCCCTGGGGGCCGAGTCTCCCCGGGGGTCCGACTCGGTGATTAGTCTCCAGTGAGGAGGGAAGTGGAGGGAGATCAGTAAGGAGCTCAGTAATGAAGGTGTGATCTTTAGCCAGAGCTTTTCCTCCCCACATTTGCATAAAGGACATGACCCTACCTGGCCAGTTGGGCTCGATGGAATGCTAGGGGCCAATTATCATTCAGTCAAAAGGTCAGAAAACCATCTTAAGCTTTTCTTCCCATATTTTGTCAACTATGATACCGTTTTTAAAACCGTACACCTTTTTACTATGTACGTTTAACCTCTTTTTAGGACTCTTCCCTCCTGTACCCCCAGTCCTGCTGTTCTCAGGAATTCAAGCAACTGCTGGACTAGCTCCCCTTGTGGCATAAAGGCCCCAGAAGGTGGCGACGCCAGATTCCTCTTCCCTGTGCCGGAAGTTCCGAGCAGTGGCTCCTTAGGCACATACCTGGGGCGGGGGTGACTGGCCCGTCCTGCAGGTCCTGGGCGGGCCCCGCGGCCTCGCTGGGCTTGGGGCTCGGCTGCCCAGGTTTGTGCCCGAGGAGGTGATACTTGTAGATGTCCATCATCAGGAACTCATTGAACTGCACGTGTTCTTGCCGCTTCAAGGGCGTGCCATGGCTGGACCAGCTCAGCCGCTGCAGGTGGATGCACAGACACTGGGGGAGCTGCAGGGGGACAGAAAGCAGAGGAGGCCACGTGTTGGACCGGGGGGGGTCCCTGAGGGCAGAGCCGACAAGGTGTGCGGGTTGGGCTCACCTTGCCTAGTTTCAGCTGTTTAACAAAGGTGGTCCTCTGGTGCTCCACCTTCTCCCCATTCAACGTCCCTTTGGCTTCGATCTGAAATAAGAGAAAGATGGCTCTGCAGAATTCCTTGGAACGAAACGTCTGTGGAGGGCTGCAGCTAGGTTGATGTTAGGTCTGTATTTAGTTGGCACCTGACTTTGACCTGCGAAAGGAGCTCGGCTGCCCAGTTCATTGTGAGATGCTCTCACCGTTTTACTGTTAAGTAAGAGTGACAGTGGGGACAAGAGAAAGGACGGCATGACAAGGAACTCTGCTGCGGCGCATCATCTATTTTGTTCTACGTCTTCAGAAATTCTGGTCCCCATGGTTCCTCTTCTTCAGAGGATGACATGCGGACACTCAGGGGAGTCAAGCCTGTGAGAATTGGCAGGTGAGTGCTCCCATCTCAGAGCATCACACTCACAGTTTCTCTTTAAACATTCTGCAGATGAAGTAAACTCATCTGGGAAAGAGCTCTGGTCCACAGGCTACCGATTTCCCAGCCAAGTTACGTAGCTGAGGCCGCAAAGCCCCCCCCCCGGCTCTAGCTGGAAGAGCTCAGGCCAGTGGAGAGCGGCGGCATGAGAGGTACTGCATCAGGACACACGGGCCAGCTCGGGGGTGACACCGGGCGTTAGAGGCATACCTGCGTACAGTTGTCACATACGACGTCCCGCACCGATTCGGAGGAGATAAAGTGGTGAAGGCAGTGGTCCAGGGTCAGTGGATGCCCCTTTTAAGCACCAGAGAGCAAAATTCACGATTACCGTTCAATTACAAGGTAACTATTAACAGAAGGCAATGTGATCCCAGAGCTTTATTTTTGCTTATATGGGCAATAAAGCTCGACAGATGCAACTGGACGTTCCCTGAGCATATGTGGAGCTCTCGAAGCTTCCTACGCTTGCTGTTATGGGTGGATTCAAGGCTATGAGGACGTATATAACACTGCAGAAACTTATAGACTCCCACAGCGTTTTAGAGATCTTTGAATTTGAGATTAATACGTTTGTGTGTGTGTGTTGAGAAAAAGCCGAAATTCCTGGAACTGGAGGAAAACCATTCACTCTCTCCCCCCCCCAGGTTGGGCCATGGTACCACACACGACAACCAAGACAGGTTCAGCCAACCATGTGCCTGAGTAGCGCATAGGACATCGGCTACACAAAGTGCCTCAGAGCCCGCTCAGATTTCAGTGTCTCCAAAACGGACCCCAAATAAACCATCGCTCAGTACATACCCACGTGGCAGCTGGGATACTCAGTGAAAGGCTGTCGAAGGTATCAAATCGAACAGGACTCTGAAACAAACATTGCAGAAGATCCAGAAAGGAAGCACGTTCAAACCAGAGCTTTAGAGATGGGAAGACACATGCCTATGAAACAGTTTAGTATTTTGATGCCCAACGCTGACATAATGAAACACGGTGTACTTACCTAGAAGCAAATTCTGTTACAAACAACCCTGTCAATGTAAGCGGTACAGTAACACCGAAGGCCAGTTTATAAGATCACGGTAAGAGAACATCCCTGATGAGTAATGTAGGGATTTTATCCTCAGGAAATAACCATGGACAAAACTGTAAGGATGTTCATCCCAGCATTATTTATAGCAGCAAAATGTGAATAGTTGAAATTTCTAGGGAACAATTAAATGAATTACATCATATCCACAGAAGAGCACGCTCTGTTCCAAATAGCACAGTAGGAGTGTGTGAGTGTACAGAAAGACACACTTATTATGTTATTAATTGCAAAAAAACCCAGATGATAAAACAGGATAAAAATTGCTGCTTTTGGTGATGGCAAAGTAGCTTAGCTAGACTAGCTGTCCTTGAGATAATGCATAGAAATTCTGGACCAAAACAAAACACAAGCATTCGGATGATTGGAGAGCTACTGCCAAGTCCTAGGAAAACAGGAACTTTACAGTGAGATTTGCACTGTGTGACTTTTTGCTTGAGGGAACTCCCCAGCTTATACTGTTCAGTATCAGGTGGCAGAAAGCTGCGTTCTCACAGGATGGAGGTCTCAGAAGACAGAGCCCAGGCTGGTACAGAGGCTGGGGGAAATCCCAGAAAGAGGGCAGCCACAGAGAGGATGAGGCCCCAAATCAATGTACAAACCCTGCCAAGTTCCAAGGCACGGACACGCAAGTGTGCACATCCACACAGGGAAACCCCAGGAGCCTAGCCAAAAAGCTAAAGCAAGAAGCTGAAAAAACTGCCCCGAGATTTTGCTGCCCAACGTGGGGAAAACAGTTTGGCTTTGAGCTCAGCCCAGTCAACTGCACATCGGAACAGAATTCATTATTTTTCAGAGAAACGTAACAGAATCCAAGTCTCTACTACAATGTTAAATATGCAAAAAAAATTACTAGACATACAGTGCGAAAAGGAAAATATGACCCATGGTGAAGGATCCCATGGATGACCTGGATACTGAAATTAACACGAGGGCCTTAAAAGAGAATTGTGACAAGTAAGCTCAAAGACACAAATGAAGAGAGTTATTTAGTCCTGGTGGAGGACAAATGGAGAGTCTTAGCAGATAAATGGAAACTATAAAGAACCAAATGGATATTATACAACTAAGAAAAATAACTGAAATGAATAGTTCCCTGAGGGGCGCCTGGGTGGCTCAGTGGGTTAAGCCTCCACCTTCGGCTCAGGTCATGATCTCAGGGTCCTGGGATCCAGCCCCGCATTGGGCTCCCTGCTCAGCGGGGCATTTGCTTCTCCCTCTCTCTCTGCCCTCCTGGTGCTTGCTCTCATGTTCCCTCTCTCATAAATCAGTAAAATCTTGAAAGGAAGGAAGGAAGAAATGTTCACTGGACAAGCAAAGCGAAGACAGAGCAGAGGCTATGAACCTGAAGATAGGTCCACAGACTTATCCGATTTGAAGGATGTGGAGGAAAGAGGTTGAAGATAAATGAACCAAGCCTCAGTGAGTTGTGGAATGATACCAAGCGGACCAATGAGGAGAGAATGGGGTATACATAACATTTTGGGAAAAAATAATGGCCCCCAAAATGTGCAAATTTGGTGAAAAACATAAAAGGTACAGATTTATGAGATTCAGCAAATTCCAAACAAATACAAAGAAAATGAACCTAGGCGCAGGGCGGACAAACTGCCGAGGCTCAAAAGTAGCGAGAAAATCTTACAAGCTGGCAGAGAGAGAAAAACGAGACGTCACGTACAGGAGGACGATGTGAATGATGCTGGGTGTGTGTCCAAAAAGCTGGAGGCCAGAAGGCAAGAGAACAGCGCCTTTCGAGTGACAAGCTGGAAGAAAGCAAGGCAGGCGTTGCAGGCACCCCTGCCAAAGTCACTGCTGACTTACCGTTTCACCATGCAGGGAGATGAAGGGGAAGATCTAGGTGGAGGGTAGTGCAGGCCAAAGTTGGATCAAAAATAAGACAACAGAAAGAGATATCCTATAAAAACCCTAGTTAGGGGCACCTAACTCTTGATTTCGTCTCAGGTCATGACCTCGGGGTTGTGAGATCGAGCCCTGCCTCAGGCTCCACGCTCAGCAGAGTCTGCTGGAGAGACTGTCTGTGCCTCTCCATCTGCCCACCCCCACCCCTCGGCTCTCTCTCAAATAAATAAATAAATAAAATTTTAAAAAAAAAAGGGAAGAAAGAAACACTACTTAGATGGAAACTAACCAGACAAAATAGACTCCAGGACAAAGATAAAATACTTACCAGAGAGAAAAGGGGACATTTTATCAAGACAGTGAGAGTCAACTCATCATTAGTAAATGTCTATGTACCTAACAGCAAAATCTCACACGAAATTCTGCAAAAATAAAACTAAAAAAAGAAAAAGAAATGGATAATTCTAGCAGATTTAAGGAAGATTTAAGGAAGAAATAATACCGATCTTAACCAAAGTCTTCCAGGAAATGGGGGAAGGAACATTTTCCCACTCACGTTATGAGGGTAGTATGATCCCCGTAACGAAATCTGACAAGACATTACAAGAAAACTGTAAGACTGATAGTCCTCATAGACATAGACACGAAGTACATCACAGTAAAGTGTTCATTCCAGAAACACAAAGCTAGTTTAACCTTAGAAAAAGCAATCACTGCAATTCACCATGTTAATAGAATGAAAGAAAATCATGATGCTGAAAGAAGCTAGTCAAGAACCATGTATTGTATGATTACACGCATACAAAATATCAGAATATGCAACTACAGAGACTGAAAGTGGGTTAGTAGTCGCCTAAGGCTAGAAGAGTGGGGGAAATGGAGAGTAACTGCTAATGGGTACAGGGGGTTCTTTTGCCAGGAGGTGGGGAGGCTGAAAATATCCTAAAATTGATTGAGATGATAGTTACACAATTCTCTATTTTTGTATTTATGTTGGAAACTTTCCTAATAAAAAGTTATTTTAACATGTCAAAATTAGGGTACCTGAGTGGCTCAGTTGGTTGGGCCGCTGCCTTTGGCTCAGGTCAGGAGCCTGGAGTCCCAGGATCGAGTCCTGCATCAGGCTCCCGGCTCCGCCGGGAGTCTGCTTCTCCCTCTGACCTTCCCCCTCTCATGCTCTCCCTCACTCTCTCTCTCTCAAATAAATAAATAAAATCTTAAAAAAAAAAAAGTCAAAAAACAAAACAAAACAAAACACCCAAACCCCACCAAACAACAGAATCTGTTGTCTACTGTCAGTGTAGACCCAACCTCAAGACTCAGGTCTGCTGCTCTCAGTGCAGAAGATGCCACAGAGGGTCAAAGGACATGCGGGCACTGAGTAAAGGGAGGCGGTCTAGCCATGAGGTAAGCAGAGCCAGGCGACCACAAACGCCGTCTACCAACATCAGTCCACACTCCATGCTTCCTGAGTCTCGAGTTGAAAGGGAACCTCACCAGAAAACAGCCAAGCACTGGTACTGTATTTACCTGGTGTTCACAGTGTTTGCAGACCATGTTGCTCGTCAGCCTTCCATGGAAAGGATGCTGAGATTTCCAGTGATTGGATGTGGGGTGAGGTGAGCCTGGAACACAGAACATGTCTCGCTGTGTGCCACCTTAGCACCAACCTCAAAGCTCACCCTCCTTTTTAGTATTTGGTAGCAACTCCCTCTTTGAAATAAATGTTCCTTAAAAGTAAACTGAAATAGCTTTCCTTATGGACTTCCATCAAAAAGACAACCCATGCCATTCACAGGAAAATTTATGCAAGTCCTTCGATGTGGTTTCTGTATAATGGGTACAGCCCATTTAAAAAAGGAATTTGTACCATATGTTAGCTAACTTGAATTTAAATAAAGACTTGAAAGGAAACAAAATTAAATAAAAAAAAGGAACTGTATAATGTATTTATTAGATGTTTAAGATATTTATATGTCCAAGGAAGGATGTTTAGATGTCCAAGGAAGGACACCACGAGAGACTATTCCAGAAAGTGATATAAACTTCCGAAAATCATCAGAGTAAGCAAGTTCTGAAAAACAGGAATTTTTTTTTTTTTTTTTTTATAAGATGGGAGTTGGAGTAATCAACAGTATGGTAGGCTAGTCAGAAACACACGCCCTATAGTCAGGCAGCCCTGGGCTCTGTCCTTGCTTAGCTTCTCATTAGTTTTATGACCCAGGAAGTCACTCCATCTCTGTGAACCTTGGTTCACTGGAAATAGGGACAATTATTAGCCCATTATCCCCACGATCAACTTCACACCACTGTTGTGAGGCTTAAATGAGATGCTACAGGGTGCATCACACAGTTTGGGCCTGAAAAGATAGTCACTGTTATTACTAGTGATGCATAACGGAAGTCACATGTCTTTTTCTTTTTTCCCCCTTAAGTTTAGGTCTTAAGAAAAAAACAATCTCCTCCTAACGAGGACTGTGATCACCTGCTGAAGACATGGCAGTTTCAGCTTAAGGAGCTCTTCATGAGATCAGTTCAAGAAGGTAGAAAGGAAACCCTTGTTGGAAGTAGAAATAAGTCCGTTGCTTTTTTTTCCCAGGCGGGAAACAGAGCAAGGTGTGAGGGAACAATTCAAGATGGCCCAAGGGAACAAGGTAGAGCTGTCTGTAAAACCCAAGCTCCTCTGCAAGTACACACAGCTCCAGCTGGACTGGATGTCCCCAGAAAAAAGTTGTTTTAAACAAGCAAATCACTGTCACATCTCAAAAGTACCCATCTTACATGTTCTAGTTCAAGGGGAATGATTACCTCTTGTGCGGCAGGTTATTTGTTTAGGAGTTATTTCTGGCTGCTGCTATAGGGGAAAAAAGAAAAAAACCAGACTGAAAATCCAGCTGCGATCCCTTTTACCCCGCCTCACCCTGCTCCTAAAGCTTACGAGTTTCCCTGCTGGTTGCACCACTTAAACCCAGTTTTTAACCAGAGATCCTAATAGAAGCCCTAATGAGTCTCTCTGGCTAGTAACCGTACCCAATCTTTCATTAAATGGAAAACACATTTCCTGTCTCTGGAACATTCCTCCCCACTCCTTTATTAGTTAACTTTTATCAACTCCCTAATATTTATCATGTTCCAGGGAAATGAGGATTCATTTAGCATTCCTGTGGCTCCTTGTCCCCTGCATTAAATAGAGGGAAAAATACCTTTTCTTCTCCAAACCAAGACAAATTGCAGTAATGAAATCCTTTTAAAGAGCCCTGACACCCCTAACCAAAGTCACCAACTGCAAAGGTTGCAGCTGAAGACAATCCCCCAGCCCCACGCCCACTCCTGATTTTTACTGAGACTTAGTTCTGAGTTTAGAGTCGTATAAGGACTATACTCACGTTCCCTATCCATCCCCGTGAAAAAGGCACAAACCACACACACCTCTTGGAACTACTACGGGCTTACCTCCAGGGAATGCACATCAAATAAATGGGTGACCCGGGGCTGTCGGTCCCGCTCGTCTTCCAGGGACGAGGTAATGACATGGAATAACTCGTGGGCATCCTGTCAAAGGGCAAAGCAGCTTCAGAGATGCCCGGCAGGCCCTGGGTGCACCGCCAGGCAGAATCCTGCAGCTAAGAGGGCAGAATTGCTTTCCACCTTCTCAAGCTTCAGCCTATTGAATGGAACTTTATATCCCAGACATTTTCACCCCAAAGGCCCTCAACTAAGGGGCCCAAGGGGAGAGAGGAGAGCAAGCTGGGGTTGAGGGGGCTGCCTTCACACCAGCTATTTCTGAGCCTGTTTCAGCTTTGTCAACATGACCCTGACCTCCACTCCCCTGGGCTGCTTTACTGTGGTAAAGCACGCATGTGGCATCCAAGCTGCCCTCTGAGCCTGTTTGTAGGCACACAGCCCTGTGGGGTGAAGCACACTCACACTGTTGTGTGACCATCAGCATAACTCATCTAGCTTTCCCAACCGAAACTCTGTCCCCATATAATTCTGACCCCACCCCCTCCCTGGCGGCCACCTCTGTGTCCAGCAGTTTGGCTCCTTGTGGGAACCTGCACAAGGAATCATAGTGTTTGTCCTTCCATGACTGACTGGCTCCACTGAGCTCGAAGTCTGTGAGGCTCACCCACGGTGTAGACCGTGTCAGCATCTCCTTCCTTTGTGAAGTTGAGTAATATTCCTTTGTGTGTGTATATAAATACCTAAGCACATACAGGCATATATATTCTATTGCACGCGCGCGTGCGTGCGCATGCACGTACACACACACACACACACACACCCCACATCTTGTGCATCCCTTCCTGCGCTGATGGACACGGGGCTGCTTCGACCTTCGGCGGTCATGGATAGTACAGCTATGCATATGGGTGCACGAGTATCCGCTGGAGTCCCGGCTTCCGGTTCTTTGGGGCACACACCTGGACATGGAATTGTTCATCATATGGCAGGGGGCTGCTCTCCCCAAAAGCCAAAACCATCCCTGGCTCTTCAGGGATGGGTGGGTCTCTCCTCCCCGGAATTCTGGAGGCACTGAGAGCTGTGCTCCCCCTGTGGTCACCAGGGTGATCTTTTAAGAGGTAGATGCTTTTATTCTTCGGCTTTCAACGGTGAGCCAGCACACACGTTCCCATCTCGGGGCCTGCTCTTCCCGTCCCATCTTCACACAGTTGCCTCCTTCTCATCCTTCAAATTTCTGCTGAGAAGGCAGTCCTGAAGGAGACCATCCCGCAAGGACCGTCCCTGACACAAGCCCCCCACTTCCACCTTCTGCCACTGCAGCTGGAGGGGGGGGGTCCTCTACCTCCAACACACACCCCAAATTTCAGAGGACTCTGTCTCCCCTGCCTCAACGCCAGTCTGAGCCAGGCCATCAGCAGCCCAGATGCCTGCAACAGCCTCCCTACTTTCCTGTCTGCTCCTTCTGCCCCACTATGGTCTCCCTGGTACAGCACATCCTGTTAAAACACAGACCAGGGCATTAGCAGTCCCTGTTCCAGGCCGCCAGTGGCTTCCCACCACACACAGAACAGAAGCCCAACTCCGGCCCAGGGCACCCGGGGGCCCGCACAATCTGCCCCTTGCCGCTGTCTGAGCCCCTCCCCTCGACTGCCCTCCTGCCCATGGCCACAGCCATGCTGGCCCCCTTGCCCTTCCCCAAACGTGGTATCCTCTCACCCTTCGAGGTCCTGTCTGAAACACTCTGTGCCCAGCTCCTCACAGGCCTCCCTCATTTTCAGACTTCAGGTCTCAGCAAAAACCTCACGTCTCCAGAAGAGCCTTCCCTACCTAAGGGAGTCTCTGCACTGCTTTTCTCCACCCCCCCCACCCCCAGCTCTAGGCCCCCCAGCTCGCACTGGCACATCAGCACACTTTTCTTCTTGTTAGTGGATCTTGAAATGACCTCTTTACCATCCACAGTCCTCTGCTAGAATATGAACTCCCTGTGAGCAGGAGCCCGGCAAGTCCCATTTGCCACCACGACCCCAGGCCCTCAACAGGCCCCACCTGAGGCAGGCATTCCACAAACATTTGCGGCATTTATCCATGAATCCCCTCCCAGGCTAGGAACAGCAGTTAGCAAGAGAGTGATGGGAGGTTCAAAGATAACTGAGGCAAGGCCCTGGAGGGACTCACAACCCAGGGGTAGATGGGGCAGCGTGGCTAGTGATCTAGCAGCGGCGCTAAGCCTGAAGGTGGACTGGCTCTTCCAGGGAGGCTCGCGGACAAGGCATCTGAAGCAGGAGCAGGGGTTCACCAAGAAGAATCCCAAGATAGGCTGGAGTCAGACCCAAACCCTATTCTATCCCTCTCAGCCACGGAACTACTTGGCCTTGAGACAAGGAATGTCTTGAAGCAGAGGGTTACTTCGCTGTGCACTTCTACACCAGAGTGGCCCGAATCCTGCCTCTGCCACTTTAACAGCTGTGTAACTCTAGGATTCTCTGAACCTCAGTGTTCTCCTCTGCAAGATGGGGACAGTAACAGTGAGTCCTTACAGGCATGCCATGGGGATGAACGCAGAGAAGTCACACGAGTCCAGCACCTGGCCCGGTATGTCCCCCACAGCTCTAGCTCCGAAAAGTGGGTGGGAGTGCGAGTCTGCCGCTGACTGACAAGATCAGTAATGATGAAGATGCGCACAGGCCCCAGGCCAGGTGGGAGGAGGCCGATGGCCAGCCACGCCTGCCTCTTTCCCAAGCACACCACAGCACTGAGTAGCTCGGTGATGACTGCAGGCTGAAGCTGCTGGAAACACTTCCCAAGAGGAACGGGGACATCGGTGGGTCCTTGACAGAGGAGCGGGACTTAGACAAGGGACCTGAGGTCCTTGGGACTAAATCGCAGTCACTCACTCAGTTTAGGGAGAGGAAAACGAGGCTAAATCATGTCAGCTACCAGAGGAGGATTTAGTAAGCATTTTCTAAGTGGAAAAACATTTCAATAGACAAGGGATTCATCCAGACGCACAGTAAGAGAGTTGAACCCATCAACACTGTGTTTAAAAAGGAACACCTGGGGGCACCTGGGTGGCTCAGTGGGTTAAGCATCTGCCTTCGGCTCAGGTCATGATCCCAGGGTCCTGGGATCGAGCCCCACATCAGGCTCTCCGCTCAGCGGGAGGCCTGCTTCTCCCTCTCCTCCTGCTCGTGTTCCTCTCTCGCTGTGCCTCTCTCTGTCAATAGAAACAAAATCTTTAAAAAAAAAAAGGAACACCTGCTTGGCTTCAGCCTAGGATGGAAATAGAGGTAGTCTTTTAAAATAAGGGGAGCTGGAAAGCCTTCCCACCTCACTTTCCAGCATTTTTAAATGCTTTTCACTCCCAGCCCACCCTTTTGGGGGCCTAACGGCCATTTCCCATTTCTCAGGTCTGCTGTCTGGACAGCGGAGGCAGGAGCACCCAACACAGAGCTGGCTGAAGCCGGCCCGGAATGTGGCCAGGGAGGACAGGAGACGACCTATTCCTACAACTTCACCGTCTCAGCTTCGCCCAGACTCACTGTCCAGACTAGCAGTCTTGAGGAGGAGGACGGTGGCCAGGACCAAAAAAGGCAGTGAATCTGTAGTTGTGGGAAAAGGGGTCCGAGGGGCTGGAGTAAGGCCCTGGGGCTGCTCATGACACCTGCTCAAGGTCGGGGGCCACTTCAATTAATCTAGCCTCTAAAAACGGATTTCTTTTTTTTAAAATGAGGATGTGGTTCAAAAAAGGGTCTCACCTGAATCTCTCAGCTCTTATGGTAAAGCCACCTGCTTGCTGCTCTCCAAAGGACCCAGGTAATCAAGTGCAAAGTCACTCAAGGACCAAACAGAGGCTCGCACTTTGGCAACTGTTCAAACCCTATCCTGCTAATCTTCCACCCACTGGGAAAACAAAACCAAAACCAAAAACAGCTGTCTTTTTTGTCTGACCACAAGAACAGGAACAATGTTCGTGATCTGGTCCCAGAATACTAAACTGCCAGAGAAATGTACACTCAGGCCAGGCAAGTGCAAGGTCAACACTGGCATTTATTCCTCATGCCGCAGCATCGAGGCTAGTTTTCAGCCCTCATTGCCAGTGCAGGCCCCAGCGCGTGAGTGGGCAGGACTTTGAATGGGGTGTTCACCTGTTCTTCAAAGGAAGAGATCTGCCATCTGTACATTCTTAAGACATCCAACAAGCAGCTTGCATCTAAGACCTCATCGTCGGTGACTTCTTGGCAGGACAGAGCTGGAAACCAGAAAGGCAATTGTTAGATTCACTGGTGAAACAACAAACCAGGAAACCTACCCCGCACAACATATCAAAGCTAATTAAGCATCTCACCGTAAAATTCACCTTGGAATTACAGCTCTTTCATTATTCCTCTCTGTAGCCTCACCCAAGGCTTAGAGGGCTGTTAGGCACTGTGTGTTTCCTGAGTGAATGTGATTTTTTCATGAGCCTGTAGCATTTAAATGAAGAAACCGGCTTCAGCTTTTTGAATTACTGCCTCGATATAAATTGTTACAAGATTTCTACTGAATGAAATGGTTTTAACTCACAACTCTGAGGGCAGAAGGGCCCTTAAACATTTCATCTAGTCCAAGCCACACTCAGTGCTTGACTCGCCTCTATCGGACCCTCTCTGAGGCCACAGGGCCTTCGCTTGTGTCCGTCCGCCCTGGAGTTTCTGATTATCACGGTAAAGCACCAAGTCGTATGTGGCAGCCTGAAGGGGACTGCTGTGGGGTTTACTTTTCTTTCTTTCATGTAGGCTCCATGGCCAGTGTAGAGCCCAACATGGGGCTTGAACTCATGACCGTGAGATCAAGACCTGAGCTGAGATCAAGAACCAGACACTCAACCGACTGAGCCAATCAGGTGCCCCTGAGTTTACTTTTCAGTCCTAAGTAGAATCAAGTCTAATGAACAAAAACACAAGTGTGATGGGCTTATGAGTTTACATTATAGTTACAGTTAGATCAAGGGTTGGCAAACGTTGTCAAGGGTCAGACAAGAGACATTTTTGGCTTTGCGGGCTTTGCAGCAGCTACTCAACTCTGCTATCATAGCACCCTGGCAGCCATAAAGAGCAAGTAAATGGGCACAAATGTTTCAATAAAACTTTATTGACGAAAGCACGCAGTGGGGCAGACATGGTCCGCACACCATAGTTTGCTGATTTCCTGATCTTGCTGGCCCCCTACCACAGTGTATTTCACTGGACCACGACTGCTAGAGTATGGCAGATAAAAATACTGGGGCCAGGGGCGCCTGGGTGGCTCAGTGGGTTAAGGCCTCTGCCTTCGGCTCGGGTCGTGATCTCATGGTCCTGGGATCGAGCCCCACATCGGGCTCTCTGCTCCGTGGGGAGCCTGCTTTCTCCTCTCTCTTTGCCTGCTTGTGATCTCTGTCAAATAAATAAATAAAATCTTAAAAAAAAAAAAAAATACTGGGGCCTGCCACCTCAGGGCAGCTTCCCAAATGCAATTAACTCCGGGAAAACGAAGCTAGCCTATTTCTTCTCTTTGATCTGCAGTTAGTGAACTTGAGACATTCCTTTAACTACTTCAGGCTCTGACTCGGGAGGTTCTGAGCAACCTCCATCTGGATCTGAACGTGGTGGTGCCTCTGGGTGGTAACGTGGTGCGAAGCAGCACCCCAGTAGCCATTGCTAAGTCCTGAGGCCTGTTTTACCAGGGCAGATCTAGCCTGGTGTCAGATCTTTACCCTCCAGAACAAAGGGAGCCTTTCAGAAGGCAACTATACTTCCCTTTCTCCTCCTACACTCCTCAGGCAGCCTGTCAGTTGGCTTTTTTCCTCCAAAGGAAAATTTTACTGTCCCCTTTAGCCCAATTTTGCCTAAAATGCTGTGGGGCCATTTGGCAATATCTACGACTTTTCATATCCTACAATCCATATCCTAGTAATCTCTCTCAGGATCTATGCTAGGGAAACAAAGGCTTGTGTGCACTATGAGCGCAAATAAGAACATTCACTGTAGCCCATTTATGACAACAAGGCCCCGGAGGCAAACAAATAGCTAAATAATAGTATCTTGCCATTATGGATACTGTGCAACTGTGAAAGTGAACGAGATTTGCAAATCGCACGTCTGATAAGGGACTGACATCCAGAACATATTAAGAGTGCCTGAGACATAACAATAAAAAAACAGACAACCCAATTCAAAAATGGAGAAGGGACTGGAGTAGACATTTATAAAACGAAAACAAACACAAAAAATACAACTATACAAATGGCCAGAAACACAGGAAAACTCCTGTTCAACAATACTTCTCAGTAGGGAAATGCAGATCAAAACCACAATGAGATGATTGCCTCACACCCAAGACTGCTACTGTCAAAAAGACAGACAATAACAAGTGTTGGCGAGGATGTGGAGAGTTAGAGCGCTGCATGCACTGTCAGGGGAAGGCAAAATGGTGCATCTGCCCTGGAAAACAGCATGACAAGTCCTCATAAGAATTAAACAGAATTTCCACCTGATCCAGTAATTCCGATTCTAAGTATAGACCCCAAAAGAATTAGGAGCAGGGACATGAGTAGAGATCTGTACACCCATGCTCACAGCAGCATTATTCACAGTAGCCAGTGGGGGGAACCACCCAATGTCCCTTGACTTATGAATGGACAAACAAAATGCCACATGTACACACAATGGGGTATTATTCCTCTGAAGCCTTAAACAGGAATGGAATTCTGCCCCACACTACAGTGTGGATGAACCTCAAGGACATGACGCTGAGTGAAATAAGCCAGAAGCACGAGGACAAACACTATAGGATTCCACCTCTGGGAGATACAGAATCAAACTCAGAGACAGAAAGTACGACTGTGGTTTCCCGGATCTGGGGATCGAGGAGAATGGGAAGTCATTGCTTAATAGAGTTTCAGGACAGGATGATGGAAAAGTTCTGGTGAAGAGAAGAGTGGGTTCGGTTACCCAACAATGTGAAGGTACTCAAAATGCTACCCAAACGTGCACTTAAAAATGGTTAAGATGGTACATGCTTCATGCTATGGATATCTTACCGTAATTTTTAAAAAGTGTGCAGTAGGAATGAGCAGGCAACCCACAGAAGATATAAGCCCGATAAACTCACAAAGAGAAAAAGACGAATTTAGGGCTATGTGTGCTAAAACGGACACTCTTCCACCATAGATGATATTATGCTATTTGGTTATGAAAAAACATAAACAAAACAATATATAATTTCTACAGGTGCTTAGAAACATATTTAAGTGCACAGAAAATGGTCTGGAAGGATACATTTGTATTTCTCTTTGGAAAGAAATGAGGGGAACGGGAGCAGGGCAGTGATAAAGGAGAACTGTCACTTTATGCGTGATGCTTTAAATTTTTACCAGCAGAGTGTATTCAAGCGTTACTTGTGAAAATAAAAATTATCTCTAAAACCCAAAATAAACGACCCTGAAAAGCAGAGACAGGGAAGGGAGCCTAGACTCTAGGTGTAGCACGGCTCCGGTTCCCAGCCCTGGGTCATGCATGTGAAGAGGGGAGACCAGTGGTCATGCTGGGACAGGTACTCAACCTGTGTTGTACCGCCCACATTTCAGCTTTCCGCTCTGGGATGGTACTTGCTTACAACAGGGGAGCAGAAGAAATTCCTTTCAAATTGCCTGTGATACAGAAGAGCAGAACTCGCTTTCTGTGTCAAGTTGAGATCACCTGGGAACACATCTCCGCAAAGCGACAGTGAACTGTTTTCTAAATCCAGTTTTTTTCCTGACTGTGAGAGGGATATATGCTTACTGTTGAGAGCTTTAGAAATACAGTTGTTGTAAGAGACTCTTAATCTCACAAAACAAATGGAGGGTTGCTGGGGGAAGGGGGGAAAGGAGAGGGTGGTTGAGTTATAGACATTGGGGAGGGTATGTACTCTGGTGAGTGCTGTAAAGTGTGTAAGCCTGATGGTTCACAGACCTGTACCCTTGGAGCTAATAATACATTATATGTTAATAAAAATTAAAAGAAAATTTTAAAACAGAATAATAATAATTTAAAAAAAAGAAAAAGGAATACAGTTGTTTTGTTTTAAGGTTTCCAAACTGTCAGCTGCACAAGACCAAAATTGCCAAGGTGAACATTTTGGTGTTTTCCTGTCCAGCCTCTATCTGTGGAAATCTTTGCTTTGCTGAAGTCAAATACAACATATTTCAAACACCGCTCTTTTAAACTTAACATTATAGCCTATGCCTCTCCCACATTAAAAACATCAACAACAAAAAACACTTGGCAAAGATGATTCATAATGGCTGCATAATATTTCCGTGGCTACTTAATCATTCTCCTGTTGGACACCCCCATGCTCTCCTCCCTGCTTTCCTTTGTAACCAGGTGTTGGGAAATCTTTGCACACATCCCAGCATTTCCCAAATTGTGTTCTGTGGAATGTCCTCGGGATGTGAAGAGATGTTATGCGAGGAAAAATTAGTTATACAGGCAAAAAGCTGGTTTAAAAATGAAGGTGGAGACGCCTGGGTGGCTCAGTTGGTTAAGCAGCTGCCTTTGGCTCAGGTCATGATCCCAGCGTCCTGCGATCGAGTCCCACATCGGGCTCCTTGCTCGGCGGGGAGCCTGCTTCTCCCTCTGCCTCTGCCTGCCATTCTGTCTGCCTGTGCTCGCTCTCTCTCTGACAATAAATAAAATCTTAAAAAAAAAAAAAAAATGAAGGTGGATGGGTGACCTCTTCAAACCCGTGCCAAGCCTGTATAACAGTGACTCCCTTGGCTCAGGGCCCCTGGTCAGCCACTCCGGAGCTCATGGGCTCTTACAACTCCATTTCAGGCTAGTGTCAATCATGGTCAATGGAATTCCCAGGTCAGATGGTACTGGACACTTAGCAAGCTAGCACCGTGTCGTTCCAAGCTGCTCTCCGTAAAGGTGGCCCTGTGTCACCCTGCCACCAGCACGTGTGAACATGCTGTCCAACAGCTGGGCAGGACCGTGGAGTTTTCAGTCTTTGCTGACAGGCAGCGCAATGATAACTTCACTGTTAAGGTTATTTCCCTGTCTTTGATGACCGCCAAGTTGCATATCTGAGTGCCTGTTAGATACTCTTCCCATCTACCTAAATACAGTCTGTACTATTTCTTCTGTGAACTACCTTATCACTTAGGCTAAGACACTTCTTTTTTCTAAACTTAATAAGCCAGAGTACTTCTTACAACCAAAATGCTTAAGTGGCAGTGGATTTATTCTCTTCCCTAAAAAGCTGTTAATACACTGACCATTTTCAAAAACAAATGGTTACGTCTTTAAATTTTTTTTTTTTAATAGCTGTTTGTATCTATTGCACCCACAGTGTTTTTTGGTTTTTTTTTTTTTCCATGATGATCTGTGTTTCACACAGAAGCTATTAACCCTCTGCCTGCCCTCAGGGCTGCTGCTTTCAAATGGCACACAATCCCCTTGAAGTTCCCGGCTAGATACCTTTGAGGAGGTGCAACAGCGTTAAGGATAAATACTGGTGGGGGGGGGGCCTCCTTCTGATCCCGGGTGTACTGGGTGGTAAACTCTTCCAGCCACTTGATGAAAGCGGGGCAGGCAGACAGGCCTTGCAGCAGGGAGTTCATGAAGCAGGTGTTCCCTAAGTTGACAAGGCCAGGCACCAGCCCTGAAAAACGTTGGGGGAAGAAGAGAAAAGCACATCACATTGGACCAACTCTTTCTCTCCCACTTGGGAGCCAGGGTTTTTGCACTGGAACCTGACACCGAAAATCCCAATCTCAGAAAGTCCTTATCCACAGACATCAGGGGGCCAGGCATTCTGTTTGTACCAAGGCCTGGTCCTAATGCTCCTCCTTCAGAAGACTGTAAGCGACAGAAGGACAGGTCCCCTGTCATGGGTTACTTCTGACCGCCACCACAGTGTCTGGCACGGCTTGTACAAAACACTTCGTAACATCTCTCTCTCATTCTTTCTCTCCTTTGATAAGAAAGCAACATCAGAACAGAAGAAAACAATTGTTCTTTTGTTGCTCCCCAGGACAATGATTTTGTTCTTATAATCAGTGCGAAAGATACCACCAGAGAAATTCTGATCAGTCTTTCTGCGAAGAGATCAACAAAATTTGACATACTTCCCTTTTCTGCTGAAACTTTTTCAAAAAACTTTTTATTATGAAGGTTCTCACACATGCATAAAATGAGAGGATATATAATCAACTCTAATCATACATAACCACCCCCCCCCCGATTTAACAATGATCAATATTTTGCTATACCGATCCCTTTTTTGTTTGCTTGTTGTAGCTGAACTTTAAGCAACATAAGGAGAGTAGCATTTACAAAGGGGGCACATTTTAAAATAATGAAATAGAATTTTGTATTAAAGACGGTAGCTGGGAACCCTTACTAGCTGACTAGCAGCTAGTCAGCGAAACCACAAACGTGTCACACAATCGGTCAGCTGTACTACTGAACAACACATGCACCAGAGGAACAACAGTTAGACAATTAAGCCACGTGAACTTTTTCATTACAGAGCACGTCTCAAACTCAAGATTTTAGAGGGGGAGGAACAGAAATCTTTGCACAATAGGGTCTAAAATAATGAGTCATTAAAAATAATTTCTGCTTAAAAGGAAGCAATGTCCCAAAACTAGAGATACAAGAGAACAAAAAATGCCCTCCTCTTTTTGTACTGTTTTGGGACTGTAAGGGCTTGGGTCAAGTCTACAGACTATGATGCGATAACCTCATTCTTACCTTTTCTACGCTTCTTTCTTTCTGTAATAGGACCCCAAATCACATAGATGCCCGCAGCAAGGGCAGCAGCAATTCCACCTATAACACCCCAGTTCTTCATGACTTTATATCTAGAAAGGAAAATAAGTTTACTGTCTTCCCTCATCCCAAACGCAGCACGTGTAAATACAGATATAGGTACAAAGAAATAACATTTCATCAAAATAACCGACTGGCCCACCAAACCCCTAAGGTTCAAGCTGAACATTCTCATACAGTACAGGGTTATGTCTTGAAACTCAGCATGTTCAGACACTAGGATTTAAAGCTTAAGGCAGGTCACAGAAGCCCCATCTCACTCAGAGGGGGAGCTCAGGTGGGAGCTCTGCCTCCCATGCTGGCACCACACTGGCTAGGTCAGGGCCTTTGCCTGGAATGCTCTCCCCACTCCCCGGATCACTGCATGACTCTCTCTCATACCTCCCCTGCACTTCTAACCAACAGTGAGAACCTGTACTGCTGGTCCCTTCAACCCAGTTCTTCATTTTCTTTTTATCACCTTCACTTATTAACTACAGTTATTGTCCCTCACTGGAGAGCAAAGTCCCTGTGGGCAGGGATCTTTGTCTGTTTTATATACCCCAAGTCTCTAGATCATATTTGGCACCTAAGAGGTTCCTAATAGTATTTACTGGATGATTACACACTGGAGAAAACATATAGAAATGAATCTATCTTTTAGAAATAAACAGGGAGGGGAGGCTGGGTGGCTCAGATGGTTAAGCATCTGCCTTTGGCTCAGGTCATGATCCCAGGGTCCTGGGATCGAGTCCCGCATCAGGCTCCCTGCTCAGTGGGGAGCCTGCTTCTCCCTCTTCCACTCCCCCTGCTTGTGTTCCCTCTCTCACTGTCTCTCTCAAATACATAAATACAATCTTAAAAAAAAAAAAGAAGAAGAAGAAGAAAGGGGAGTTGCCTTAATCTGGTTCAATTAAGGCTCTGCTCTTCCTTAGAGCATCATTTTCCCTTCTCAGGCTCATCTCTGTCACCTGTACAATGGGGACAACCAAGAGACCTGCTTCATGGAGTTCTGACAATCAAACAAGCGCTAGGTCATACGAGGCAAAGGTAAGGGCTTAACAAACATTAGCTACTACAATTATTAAGTATTAACCATCTCAATTGCATTCGGGAAAGTTATTCTTGAATTTCTTAGTGCTGTATTGTGCTGACTTCCACACAACAGGTGTATTAACAAAAGTGCCTGGAAAAGTTAAAAGAACCATTACTGAAATTCTAAAGCACTATACAACTGCTTTAAATTCCCTAAGCAAACACTAATATTTAAGGGTGCATACTCTATGCCAGGCACTGTGACAATCTTATCTCATCCTAAAGACAATCCCACAGAGGTAGGTTCTGTTATCATCTTCATTTTCTTTTTTTTAAGATTTTTATTTACTTTAGAGAGAGCAAGAGCAGGGGAGAGAGAGAAGCAAATTCCCCTGCTGAGCAAAGAGCCCGATGCTGCGCTCGATCCCAGGACCCTGAGATCATGACCTGGGCTGAAGCCAGATGCTTAACCGAATGAGTCACCCACGTGCCCCTATCATCTTAATTTTCATGTTAGCAATGCAGCCAACTTGGTCAAAGTGAGTGAGGCAGCATTGAACTGAACTCGTGCCAAGTGTGTGCTTAAAACCACAAACCTCCTGAAGGAAACCGAAGGACAGAGAGTCCGAAGGGATGGGAGAGAGGACTTGCCCAGGTCCTCAGCAAGGTATGGACAAAAAACCCAGTGAAATTTGGTGACTCTGGAAACCCCCATCTCTCTGCAAAACGACAACACAGGACAGCAGTGGGGTCTAGGAGTAAAAAGATCTGTCTTTTCCCCCAGCTCTACTGTGAGGTCAGCTGTAGGCCACAGGCAAAACTGTCTCAAGGCCCGTTTCCCATCTACAGAATGGGGGCACTGGACAGGACAGCCATTGAGGGCTCCCAGCCCTGCCATAATAAGCTCTTTAAATCTGCTCCAGTTCCAGGGGAAAGAAGCTAGGCTGAGCAACAGGTCTCAGTCATTTAGGTTCAGTAATGGGGATGCAGTGTTCAGCTCTCAAGACTGGAGCCCATGGGAGGATGAAGAAAAGAAGGGAAAGAGGGACCCTGACACGACTGGGGGCCCATACTATTGGGGTTCCTAGCAGGAATGGGAGACCTTAACAGAACTGGAAGCCTTTACAGGTTAAGGAGTCCTGATCTGTTCTGGGACCCTCGCAAGACAGAGATTCACAAATCAGACTGAAGACCCACATTGAATAAAGGATCCCTGGCTTGACTGCGGGATGGAGGATGACAGGAATAGGGGTACTGACAAAATGGGGGAAGGGCTAGCAGACCTGGGTGGCTTTGCAGGGCTGTGAGAACCACGGCAGGACTGGGGAGCTTGGCAAGACTGAGGTACGCTGGCGGCCCAGGGCACGACAAGACTGGGAAGCCCAAAAGGACTGGGGGTACCCTGAAAGGATTAAGGGGTCCTGGAAGGCCTGCACGACGGCACTGAGAGGTCTGAGGGCCACTGGTAGAATTCGAGGCTTTGACAAACCTGAGGGTGTCTGGAAGTTCTGGGGACAAGGACAGGCTTGGAGGAGGATATGGCAGGTGGGGGGGCAGGGCACTGAGAATTTGGGGCGCTAGCAGCACTGGGGAAGGCTGACAGAATTGGCGTTGCCGAAGAAATGGAGGGCCTGGAGGCTCATCCGCCGTCCCGCTCCAACGGAGCCCGACGCAGAAGCCTCCGGAATGCTTGCTCCTGCTAGCGCCGTGAAAGGCCGCCGCAGGCCCAGGCTGGGGACCCTGGCCCCGGCCTCTCCGGCCGCCCCGCCCCCAAGGCTCACCTGACGGCCGCCCCGGTCCGCAGGAAGCGCTGGATGGCCCGGTCCGCCGCGGTCATCGCCGCCTGAGCCCGGGTGCTCAGCATAGCGGCCGCGCGGGAGACCCGCCGCCGCCCCCGCCACTACCACAGCACTGGACCGAGGGCTCGGAAGGTTCCCGAGGCGGCGGAACCTGCAGCCGTAGTCCCAGCTCCTCTGGGGAAGGTAGGACGAAGGACCGGCTCCCCCGAGAACCGGAAGCAGCTGCCGCCGGAGAACAAGAGCCGGCGGACCACATCCTTGTTTTCCCGTCTCCCGCTTAGCAACAGGCGTCAGCGTCGGTTACCAAGGGAGGCCCTGTGGCTCCGGCTCGCTGGGTGTTCAACCTGTGCTTTGGCTCCGTGCATTTTAAATGTCCCACTTCCAGCTCCTGGGACCATTTTAATTTTTTTAGTTATAAAGAGGGCCCGTCCGAAAGCGGGATCAGGCCTCGGCCACCCTTAGTTATTATTGTCGTCGGGAGTGTAAATAGGTCGCGGAGGAAAGGCCTTTAATGAACACGTAGGGCCATCTCTGACCGCATCACCAGAGAGCGCGAGGCCTTCGATGATAGCCACCGAGCTTACCGTTTACTTACATGCATTGCTAAGTACGTCACATGCATTTGTCCCATTCAACCTTCACACCAGCCCTAACGTGACCCATATGTTACAGGAGATAGGAAGCAGCTGGTAAGTGGTGGAAACAAGATTGGCAGCCAAGTCTGTCTCCAGAATATCGCTGTCCCCTAGAAATATAACGGAGGCCACATTTTACATTTTCTAATAGCCACGTTAAAAAAAAAAAGATGAAATTAATATTAACAATACCTTTTACTTGACCCGCTATGTCCAAAATATTGTCATTTCTTTATAAAAGTTTTTATAAAAACTTAAAAAAAAAGAGAGATCATTTACATTCTTTTGTGTGTGTGCAAAGTACATCTCGATTTGAACCAGGTGCTTCTCATGCGTTCAGTAACTGCACGTGGGCAGTGGCTACCACTTTGGACAGCACAGCTTCTAGAATCTTAGAGCCAGAGAGATTTGCACTCCCTTTTAATCATTCTCCCCAACTCTGGAGCAAGTGATTGCACCTGCTTTAGGAAAGAAAGCAATGTTTTAGCTCAGTGGTCCATTCTCAAAGTTTTAGGCCTCAGGACCCTTTGGTAGGCTTAAAAATTACTGAGAGCTTTTGTTTAGGTGGGTTATAACTAAGTATACTTAGGCTGTTAGAAATTGAAATCAAGAAATAATTTTGAGGAGCCTGGGTGGCTCAGTGGGTTAAGCCTCTGCCTTTGGCTCAGGTCATGATCCCAGGGTCTTGGGATAAAGCCCTGCATCTGGCTCTCTGCTCAGCGGGGAGTCTGCTTACCGCCCCCCCACCCGCCTGCCTCTCAGCCTACTTGTGATCTCTCTCTGTGTGTCAAATAAATAAATAAATAAATCTTAAAAAAAATAATTTTGTTTTTTTTTTTTCTAAACTGAAGTACCATTTATGGAATAAGATTCACCTATTTGGTTCTGTGAATTTCAGCAAATGCATAGTCATGTAACGATGACCACAAACAAGATATAGAAGCTTCACCCCTCACCTCAAATAAAATTACTGCCTATCTGTTTGTAGTCCACTCCTCCACCTACCTCCAGTCCTTGGTAACTACTGATCAAGACTGAGAAAAGTTTTAAAATCCAACAATACCAAAGCATACATTCCATTAGACATTAAAGCTATGACCTCATCACCTGTTGTGTACCTCTGGAAATTCCAAGGTACACTCATGAGTGAGTGACAGTGGGAAAGGAAAATTTAAAAATGTCTTAGTGATATTATGAAAATAGTTTTAACCTCAATAAACCCCTGAAAAGGTCCTCCAAATGGGGTCCTGCTACAGTATTTTGAGAATAGCCATGGTAGCCTGCCTAGTGAAAATTCTGCCATCCCAACCTACAAGTATGCTCTCGAGTCTATGTACCAGACTCTTTTAAATAATTGGCACTTACGGAGTATAGTCAATCAATTCACAAAATTTTAACCATTGTATATGCCTAACTTCAATTTAATGCTTGCAATGACCCCTTGAGTAATAAGAGTACAGACTATCTCCCAACTTATGATGACCTGACTTGAGATATTTTGACATTACAATAGTTTGAAAACTACATGCATTCATTCAAAACCTTACTTCAAATTTTGAATTTTGATCTTTTCCTGAGCTGGCCATATGCAGTTCAACGCTGTCTCCTGATGCTGTGTAATGGCAGCCAGCCCCAGCTCCCAGTCAGCCTGGCAACCAGCGGGGTAAACAACCAATACACTTACAGCTGCTTTGCACCCGTACAACCATCCTGTTTCTCACTTTCAGTAGTCAATAAATTACAAGAGATAGTCAACATTAAATTCTAAAATGGGCTTTTTGTTAGATGATTTTGCCCAACTGTAGGCCAATGTAAGTGTTCTGAGTCCATTTAAGGAAGACCAAGCTAAGCTGGAATGTTCAATAGGGTAGGTGTATTAAATGCATTTTTGACTTAGTAAATTTTAATCTATGTTGGGTTTATGGGAATGTAGCCCCATACAAGTCAAAGAAGATCTGTACTCCACATACCATGAGGTTAACAATGTCTGCAGCCTGGTCCTTGTTGCTCCTCTAACCAGTAGGGGTGTGGCTGTCACTGACTAACAGAAGTTCTTAAAAATAAGGATGTATTACCAATTTATGATGATGACTGCTGCCAGGAACAAGGCGGTGTCTGCTCTAACATCCATTGGGCGGGTCAAGGATTTGCAGCATCCTGGGAGATCACAAGGTCATCTTTCAGAACCTTTGGCATCTCTCAACTGTTGGGATTATTTTGTAGATAAATGGTTTATCTGAGATCTAAACTCCATGGGGTAAAAACTGGAAGTGGTATTTTTCCAACTGCCTGCACCTATACTAAGTCAGACCTCCTCCTTTCACACCATGGAGTAGGTCCCTAAATAATGCAACTAGGTAGACACTTTCAGAGATCCGTCTCATTTCAATAGTCTCTATCAAATATATAAAATATTTAAAAAAATAAAAATAAAAGGGGCGCCTGAGTGGCTCAGTGGGTTAAAGCCTCTGCCTTAGGCTCAGGTCATGATCTCAGGGTTCTGGGATCGAGCCCCACATCAGGCTCTCTGCTCAGCAGGGAGCCTGCTTCCCCCGCCCCCGCCTGCCTCTCTGCCTACTTGTGATCTCTCTCTGTCAAATAAATAAATAAAATCTTTTAAAAATTAAATAAATAAATAAATAAAACTCAAACGTGATTCTGAAGTCTTCTCCCAGACTCCAGAGGAGAGAGTGATGTGGAGAAAGAGGAGAAGTCCTGTTGTGAATACCTTTCTCACCCCCTCTCCTAGCAGGGGAGCTAGACAGAACTCAGAAACTCAGAAGACAGAACTCAGAAACTATAATCATATTGTCACACAAAGCCACAAGAAAGATCTAGAATCCAATCGGGAGTCTTTTTAATATTTTTAAAAGTTATCATTGTGCTGTGTTCCTACCAGATAGGTAAACTATGAAAAAGAGTATTGAATTCCTTTCCAGTTTTTAGAACTTGCTGCAGGATTTGTCATAGAATTTTCCTTGGGACACTGATTAATAGAGACCTTTGCTTTCAAAAGCCACATCAACCCAGGACCTCGTGGTGCAACGGTAGCGCGTCTGACTCCAAAAGCCACATCAACCCAACCCCTCTTAGGAAACTCTGAGGGCAGGACTGGCCCCAGTGGCTGGCTCTGGCGGGCAACTCTCTCAGCTTAGACTATGTAGCACTTGGTGTCTTTTTCCCTCAGATTTGGGCAAGAAGATAAGATCCCTTCACATGAATGGAACACTTGCTTTTTTTTTTAAATTTATTTTATTTTATTTATTTAACAGAAAGAGAGAGATCACAGTAGGCAGAGAGGCAGGTAGAGAGAGGGGGAAGCAGGCTCCCCGTTGAGCAGAGAGCCCAATGCGGGACTCAATCCCAGGACCCTGAGATCCTGACCCGAGCCGAAGGCAGAGGCTTTAACCCACTGAGGCACCCAGGTGCCCTGGAACACTTGCTTTTATTTCCAGGCAGAGAAAATAAAAACAGAAAGATACAAGCATTAGCAGAATTTTGTTGTTGTTTTTCTTATGTGGTTGTTTTGTAGACACCTCCCCCTCAAAACCCAAAAAAACAAAAAAACACATAACAACAAAATGGCTCAAAAATGGGTAAATTCTGCCTTAAACAGCACTCCAGGACTCTCCTGCATTCTTCTGTTATGTTTTTCCCAGAAGTCTTCTGACCACACAGTTGGCCCTCATGATGTCGGCAACACGTTCTTTTTCTTTTTCCTTTAAAGATTTTATTTTTTTTTTTTTATTTGTGAGAGAGCAAGCGAGAGACACAGCAGGGGGAGTGGAAGAGGGAGAAGCAGGCTTCCCGCAGAGCAGGGAGCCCAATGCGTGGCTCAATACCAGGACCCTGGGATCATGACCTGAGCTGAAGGCAGACCTTAACAACTGAGCCACGCAGGCATCCCAGCAACACATTCTTGAGGCTGGTCCTTCCTCCTCCCCAGATGAGTTTATGAGCTGATCCCGGGGGCCAGAGGGGACGGGGTAAAGGATAAGCACTCTCTCAGATTTCTAAATGTTTAGCAGAGTTGAAAAAGGGTTTCTCTGCTTAAACTGGACACTCTGGGAAGTCAAATGTAAGTGTTACTAGTATTAAAACTACAGGTTTGAACTGGGCTTAGATAAAGAGATCCTTGGTTCTAGATATAGACCAAAACTTTCATCTGGCTGGCCATGTGAACTTCAGCAATTCATCTCCCCTGGGTGTGATGGTTTATTTTATATGTTAACTTGGTGGGGTCACGGTGCCCAGATATTTGGTCAAACATTATTCTGGATGTTTGGGTGAGATTAATATTTAAATCTGTAGACTCTGAGTAAAATAAACTGCCCTCCCTAATGTGGGTGGGGCTCATCCAATCAGCTGAAGATCTGAGTAGAACAAAGAGACTGATGTCCCCCAAGCAGGCAAGAATTCTGCTGGCAGGTGGCCTTTAGACTTGAACTTCAATATTGACTCTTCTTTAGGTCTCTGCCTTGCTGGCCCATCCTGGATATTTTGGACTTGATAACTTCCACAATCATGTGAGCCATTACCTTAAAAATGATCTCTCAGTCTCTGTCTCT